GCATGAATTTTAAATTTCTCAATACATCCAAGTTGGTAGCAATCTAAAAGCTAGAGAATCTTTTAAAATAGAGAATTACTTACCCTAATCCCAGCAGTTGGCAAACATCATTTGAAATCTGGGAGGTCCAATTCTCAGCACAAGCTTCATACCATATGCTCTGGATTCTGAACTGCACCATGCCTTTGTTGCTCACTGTGCCATTGAAAAGACGCACTGCAGAGATTAGATCACACACAGGTAGCATGCAGTCAAAGTTGAGAAGAGTAAAAGATGGCCTCTAAACGAAATGTGCAATTTTCTGAATGTTTAGAATTTAGAAAGTGGTTGCAGTAGTCTCTTAAGGACATGCTGGAAAGACGACATTGAGAAATAAAAATTTGTTCAACTTAGATTTGATACTTCATATGACAGTGTAAAGGGGAAAAACAAACTGATTTCATACCAATGCAGCACATTAACATGAAATATATAAGGTTATCTTTAAGATGCCCTAAACTTAGTCTCATAAAGAGGGCAACTCAAAATTAAGAATAACATTAAGCATTTTTTTCTACTTATTTTCTCAAGAAACTTACTGATTTCTTTACATTATTTTTTTTTTTTTGGTGTCTACTATTCTGTCTAATATTCTACATTATTAAATATTTTTATTGTGAATTTTCTGAGGATTTATAGAGTAAATAACCAGTCTTACATTAAACAATACTTACACATTTCGGTTACAATACACCAGAACCTGTGCCAAATCTCTATGTATACATTAGTACACTCCTAATCTAACCCCTACCCCTGTTAAGCCTGCATGTGTTTCTAAGCATCTACAAATAGATCAACAGGATTTCAGGATTGCCTACACTATTTTTGGTACAATGATAAGGATGTTAATGCTTAGGTAGGAATCTGGTCTAATAAGGCCAAAGTAACCTACTTTATTAAACAGATAAAATGTCAGCAATGATAGATAGTCTTATCATCATTCGCCATATTAAATAGAAATATCATAGCATTCATTAATTTTTTCTATTATGAGACAGAATTGGATTCAAACACAAATTTTGCCTTCAGTGGGTGTGTGATCTCTGTCATTCGATTTTTCCAAGGCTTAGTTTCCTCATCGCTAAATTGTAGTTAGTATTAAATATGGTATTATTTAAAACACCATTAAGAGACATGATAATTCAGTGTGTGGTAGTTACATAATCTGTTGTCAATTCTCAAATTGACAACAATTCTCAAATTGACCCTTTCAAGTGAAGGGGTGGGGTTTACTTGTCAATTGGGTCGCAACTTGACGTCATTTGGAGGCTCTAAGGAGCTAAATAGTTCACTGGAGGTGGGACACTCACTCCCTGGGAGACATTGCAGCTGACAAGACACATGGAGCTACACTAATGCCCTGAACTGGAGGAGCCACATGGAGCCCCCTGCCAGTGCTGAGATGCTTACAACACCACTGGATCTCCTCAAGACTTCCCACTCACTGGTCTGTGATCTTCCTGCATTTGACATCATTGCATGTGTTGTGTGAGTCTGAAGAGGAATGTATAGATTGGTATCAGATATATGGGCTAATATTAGACTTAGGGACTTGATCTGGACTGGGCTGGGATGTTTTCATAATGTACAATTACTCTTTATATAATGTTCTTTCTTATACACATATGAGTGTCTATGGATTTGCTTCTCTAGTCTGTCCAGACTAACACACAGTGGTTAAAGGACTTATTTCATAGTTTAAAAGTCTTTGGAACTCTCAATTATACCATGGGAGAAAGGTATGTCAATCTACTTCTGTAAAGATTGCAATTTTAAAAACCTTTGGGGGGAGTTCAACTGTGTCTCATCAGGTGGACATGAGTCAGAAGAGTCTCAGTGGGCATGCATTTGTCTGTTTGATTTCAAAGGCCCACACTGATAGTTACAGTACCTGGCATATAGTTAGTAAGATTTAAATCTTGGTTTTAATTTTCTCTTAAAAGCAATACTTATAACGTAATTTTTTAAATTAGAGGTAAATATGAGAGATAGTACATGTAGCCATCATTCATATATCTATACAAATGGTCTGAAAGCTGGGTTCGCTGAAATCTGAACATGACAGAAGGAATAGTAGATACTAAAGAGCTGACTGTACACCGAATGCATTCCATCAACAAACAAACATGCAGGTGTCTCTGTTATGCCCAGATTACAGTAATCAGTAAGTGTCTGTAGAGGGCATGGTTTGAACCCTTCTCTCCTTGTGGATTTTATCTCCTCTATTTGAATGTGGGCTGTCCTATACTGGAGCCCTGGTAGCATAGCTACACATTGGGCTGCTACCCACAAACTGAGTTAGCATTTCAAACCCACTAGCCACTCCACAGGAGAAAGATAGCCTTTCTCCCATATTGATATGATAATACAGTTATTAAATCTAGCCACCTTATACAAATCAACAAACAAAGAAAATGGAAGCCGACAAGTTACCCTTTCTCCTAACCAGAGTGGGGACCAAAATCAAAACCTAACCATTGTCAGTTTGGACTCACAGTTCATATTGACCCTACAGCACACAGTAGAATTGCTACCTAGGCTTTCTGAGGCCATAGGTCTTTTACAGGAACAGAAAGTCTCCTCTTTCTCTTATAAAGCATCTGGTAGTTTTGAAGGGCTGACCTTGTAGTTAGCAATCCAGTTCTTAAACCACTATGCTACTGTAGTAATGATAAAGGCTCAGAAACAATTGGGAGATATTTATACTCAACAACATTAAGACATGAATGATCTCAAGCTATAAAGGATGGATGAAACTCAGAGACTACTGTTCTAAGAATGTCTTTAAATATTAAACCAAAAATATTTTCTGAAGTTTTCCTAAAATCAAACAGTAATCCACTTTGACTAAAGTTTTGCCTTGAGCTTATGCTTTTTGAAGGTATTTATATGGGATCAAAAGGAAAACAGCAGCCTAAAGATTACTTAGGGGGCAATGAGTTTATGTTGATAGAGAAGAACAACTCAGAAAAGGAGGGTGAGAAGCATGTACTACTCGAAGAATGGAATCAACGTGACTGAGCCGCACATGTGGAATCTGTTGAATTGATACATGTGCTGCTGTTATAGTTTCAGCAACAACAAAATACAAACAAAAGCAAAACATGTGGGCAATGAAAAACAAACAAAACTCCCCCCAAAACACATATTTGTTTTCTTCCTTTCACATTTGTAGAATCCAAACACATATGGTAAAGTGATAAAAAGAAAGAGAAATGTTGTTTTTCTACACAAAACAAGACATACCACAATGTGCTTCATCTGAGCCATCCTTACAGTGTGGATGACTGTCACAAAGATTCACCAGTGGAACACATTCTCCAGTTTCACATTGAAAATCATCGTACTTGCAGGGTTCTGTGGGGGGAAATCATTTATTATACAGGGTAAGGGCATTAAAAATAGAATACTCTGCACCACCCATCCCATTTCTACCTCATTTACCAACAGTTATTTGCTACAGCACGTGGAAGATCTAGCTTCCCTATTGAACAAGGTAATGTACTCAGTCAGCGACTCAGCATCTGTCAGGAAGAGTATCATCACAGATAGAATTATAGCTTGAGGAGAATATGCAGGGAACTGCAGGTACTTCTTTTGGAGAAGATCATGAAATCAGGTCCAAGGGATTGCCAAAGGCTTCAGACACCCTACCCACAAAATCCTCTGACAGTACCACTCAACAAATCCACATAAACTTATCATCTAAGCAATAATAATTTAAGTGTTATATAATCTTAGCTTTAGGAGAGGTCTTTTAGATTTACCATGCCAGTGACCCTTCCAAATCATTACTATGAAGATATTTGAAAGTTGCCAACTATGGCAAGAGAAAAATCAGTTGGAAATAATTATCTCAAAGTTTAACTAGATGGACAAAACCGTACTTCATTTTCACGCAAATAATTATACATTGTCTGCCTTTGCAAACCATACAATCTCCATGAATATTAGATTTCTCTCTATGTTATAAGGATGAACAAATTGTGACCACATCAATGCTCTACTTGTTATATTAAGACAGATATTATTCCAGATCTGGTAATTGACATTGTCAGTGAATATTGTTGTAAATTTTCCCTGACAACCAGCTCCCAATTTTTTTGTGTGTAAATAACATCCAGCCATGAAAGGATTTATTCCATTCAAGTGAATAGTTCAATTATTGCGATTGAAGTTAGCCCACACTGGTGCAATATCCCTCACTCATCTGTGTTGTAAAAATTAGTACTAGGGGATAATCAATGACAATATTATTGGAAGATCTTTACGGTCCAGGAAGATGAGGTCCAGGAAGATGATTGATAAGACTCTCTACCATAAATTAACAAGAAGACCTCTAAGAAAATTCAAAGCCAAATTAAACAACAACAACAGCAAAACAAAAAAACTTTGATCCATGAATGGATTTTGGCTACCACTTAATCCTAGCTCCAATTTAAGAAAAATTAGTTCTTACATCATAGCCCTGCTCAATATTTGCCCAAACGAAGGGAATGCAGAAGATACAGGCACTATAGAAAAGTGTGGTGAAGAAATTAGAAGGTGCCCAGCTATCAGATAGAATAGAGCCGGGGTCTTAAAGGGTTGTTTTCAATCTAACAGCTTTCTAAGTGAGATGTCAACTAAAACCATAGGGAAGAAGCACACCAATATTTGTGACCAAAGGATCATAAATTCTATGATCCAAAGCTGAAGAAGGGAACAGTGTCAGAACCTAAATTGTGAGACAATTGCAGGACAAAAGCAGTTTAAATATAATGATATTAATGTTTTGGTGTTGTGCTGTACTTATATTTTAATACTGAAATGTATGTCTTAGTACTTGAAGTAACTGTGAGAAGATAAATCTGTTTGAGATCTCTAGGGATAAGCAGAGAGCTTTGAAATAATGGTAGGTGGTATATACTGTGAACATGCTCATTAAGTCTAGCCATTCACCCAAAGAAATATATAAGGCATAGCTAAATTTTCACAATATTCTGTTTCCTTATTTTTGGCAAAATGCCTTGCACAAAAATAAGGAATCAATAGTTATGTGTCCTATATAAAACATAATTAATTCATGTTAAATGAGTGATATGCTTCTACAATCAGTATGATTCGTAGTAAGAGAATTTTAAAAGTAGCATAGAGGAGAAATTTTGAAACCCACACAAAATCCGCAAACCTGATGTTTTCAAGTTGATTAAAAACCTAAGAAATGATACCGAAAAACCTACATGACAGCGTCGTACTGCCGCATGGTGTTTCTACGTCTGTAATCTTAAAGGGAGCAAAGTGCCACACCGTTCTCTCTCAGAGTGACTGTGGGAGTTGAACTAGAGATCTGGTTAATAGCGCAATACTCATTTACTATGGCACAGAGCTCTTTTAATTCCTAAACGTATCTTTTTAACAATATATTTAAATTTTAAGAAAATTGGATAATGGTACCCAATGATTTGAAGAAGATGTTAAATTATTAAGGTAAGATAGTTCTCAAATCATATGACCTTGATTTGATGAACAATGTAGCCCTTTTCTAGTTTTGCGACCTTGAGCAATTAACTTCTCTGAGCCTCAGTTTCCTTGACTGTGAAACAGGAATAAATACTACAGCTGCCCCTTGAACAAGGTGAGCTGGTAATGCTGACTTCTGTTGCAGTGAAAAATCCAAATATACTTTACAGTTGCTAGTGTGCTCCTCCTGAGATGATTAACATCCATGACATTTAAGTGAATATTTGTGACACTTGAGCAAATCACAATAGCAAAAGGAAGAACAATCCACATGTAAGTGGGCCACTAGCTGTTCAAGGGTCCACTGCATTTATATCTTAGGTGTGTGATAAGAACAAGGAAATTAAAGAAATGTACAAAATATGCTAAACTACATATAAATGAACATTCAATAAGTAATATTCTTAATAGTAACATTTATAAATCAGCTTTTTCACCAATATTTTTCAGAAGATGCTCTTAATTCCATGTTATTGAAGGGATATTTTCCTCTCCAGATACTAGACAGAAGTAAACTTCACTAATCCTTTCCTCGGGTTTCGTACCAAGATAATTGAAGCTGTTTGTATAATTTATTTTAAACATTGAAAAATCCTATGTTTCCATCCCAATTTAGATTGCCTTGACAGACTATATATTCACCTAGAATGTTATGTTTTGTTTTTCCCTTTCTAAGCAAACATTTATAGCATTAGAGAAGCAGATAAAATATCTCAAAATTTAACACTATTAGGAAAGTCCTTGTCGATGTAATTTTCAATTTGCTTAAAAAACACTACCATTTTATACCCGATTAGTATGATGATAAGTAGTCAAAGACTATATATTGGACAGGCTAGCGGTATTATTTTAACTGATTTATATGCATATTGCATCTTCCTAGTATTTCTTCTCTCTTAGAAAAGAGGAGGGTTTAAAAACCAGCGATATATGTGTATGTGTTCATATATTCTATCTTAATTAATATGGAATATTTAATTAACGTGCTGTTTTAAAGGCTTGTTAAAATCATTATATAAATGTTAACTCTCAATGCCATTAACTTAGTTCTAGCCAAATTTATTGCTAATTTACTCTTTTGTTAATATAATCAAACTATATTTTACCAGAAAAGTACCGACTAGTGGAATGGAACAAGATAGCTATATGAATGAACGTATTTATAAATATCAGAAAATGATGACTTAATTTTATAGACTAGACAAAAAGCTATATAATATGGAGCCAGAAAAATTCATCCCTTTCTGTAGGCTGGATGCATTGGATGAAGAAATGCTGATGAGCAAAACTACCTATTATTGCTAAACTGAACAAAAACTATTAATGCTGAGGAGAAGTGGAAACAAGGTCTTTCAAAATTTTCCTTACAGACACAAATTGAATGGTAGTTCATTGCAATATATATAGTAGTTTGGTTTCATTCGAAAATCATTAATGCAACTGCTTAGTTTTCCGTGACATCTAAAACCTTATTTTTGATAGTTCTATGCCAACGGTGAGAAAAAGAAAAAGAAATACTGCTAAGAATTTAATTTCCCTTCTCTCGTTAATGAAGCCTCCAGTAGCCCTGCCTCATTTACTCAGCATATGCTTGCTTTTAAATGGAATTGAATTGATCTCAAAGGCATATGCCACACTATTTGGGGAGGACTTTAAGCCTCCTAAATGTAATAATCAGGTGTCCCTTCATAGTTGCATGTTAAGCACTGCTAAATTCCCAATTAAGATGTTGAGTAGCAGAAAGAGTATTGAGGGGATATTTATAGGAGGGTGGTTTTAATAAATCTATATTTTATATACTCTAGTTTAACATGTGGAAATACCAAAGCCCAATCTTTCTCCATTACTAGGTTGTTTATATTTACTGCCAACTCTGTTTCTGTTATTGCTTTTCAGTCTGTTAGTATAAGAATCTAGCTAGGAAATGATTTTGCTGATGGCAATTCACTCAACTCATTTTCTATTCATTGGTACCTGTCCCATGACTTGGAGGAATGCGGAACCAAATTCTTGGGCTATTCACTATCCAGGATTGGTCACTGGAGACTTTCCATTCTAATAACAATGAGGGATATTTTCTCTTGAAGATAATTTATTTCATAAATAGCATAGCAGTAGTAAAGGAATCTAGTTAAATAGGATACAGACATAAATAAAACCTGGACCACGAATCTAGCATCTATATTGTGTTTAAGGCAATATATTATGCTCTTTGGGATTTTATCTTGCATAGATAATGTTTGTCATAGTTTTCCCTATCTGTGATGCTACATCTCATTATAAGAATCTAGTGAATAGCCCGGAAACTGTAATGCTTTTGATGGAAGGAACTTATTGACAACGCCCTTTCCACAATTTCTTTTTCTATTTTACCTCATAGTAACTTAGAATATGGGTGTACAAAAACCTAATCTCTTTCTAAAATTATGTCTCAAGATGGCATTTATGCTTACAGATAGTGGAATGATCAAAAATGATTGCAACTATCTTTCTTTCTGAATAAATCTACTCTCTTAATGTCTAGATCTTTTAATATTTCATAAATTTTCTCTCATTTGTTTTTATCATTGATTTCCATTTATTTAAAAATGCAATGACTCTTTCAAAATTTCTTTCCATAACAAAATTATTGCTAGGCAGGTGAGCATCTCAGACTGCCGAATTGTTAGAACAAAGTGTTCTTGTGTTGATGGAGTACTTATGCAGGGGCCCACTGTCCATCTGTTTTCTTAATACTCAACCTATAAATATATATACATAGATCTATTTCCCCCTCATCATATCTAAGCATTTTTACATCTTTATATGCCTGTATTTACATCTCTATGACCACCCTTTGCCTCCTAGTTCTTTCC